CGGAGTCTAATGCACCCACTGAGATAAGATTCTTCCGCAAATCAGGAACGTGCTGTACGTCCGTTAGGGTTCTGACTTAGATGAGAAGCAAAAAGACGGAGAGTCAGTCGACAATTTTGTCAAGCGCTTCCGTGGGTTGGGATATTACACACCTACTCTCTTGTTAGGACAATCGACCTTGAAATGCCCAACTTCACCGCATTTGAAACACGCTCGTCCCGCAAGAGGTCTCGATTTAGATCTAGACTTTCCTCCCTTGCCTTTTCCTCGCTTATTGCTCCTTCCTCTAGCAAACAATCCCTGCGCTTGTTCTTTGTTACCACCAGTAGTCATGTCACTGGTTGCAATCTTCCGAAGGTCATCCGCTAGAAGCACCGTTCTAGTCTCATCCATCGTCAAATTGTCTCCCACAAGCATCAGTGTTTGTACCAGGTTCTCATAAGACTTCGGTAGAGATAGAAGTAGTAAAAGCGCCTGATCCTCGTCTTCTACAGTCACATCGATGTCCTTCAAATCCGATATTATCCTATCGAACTTGTTGATGTATTCCCGGATTGATGAGCCCTCCTCCATCTTGCAAGTATACAATTTGGATTTTAAATAGATCCAGTTCGTTAGACTCTTCGTCATGAAGGTGCGTGCTTTCTAACTTCAACCACACGCCCGCGGTCGTTTCCTCTCCATCTACCAAGAAAGCTACATCCCTTTCAAGGCAAAGGATAATCGACGCCCGTGCTTCCAGATCCAGCTCCTCCCAATCCTCATCAGACATATCCTTGTGCTTCTTCTCTTTTCCCGCCAAAGCTTTGTGCAATTTCTGCGAAATCAACGTGTTCTTCATCTGCATCCTCCAATAGGAAAAATCATTCTTCCCATTGAATTTTTCAATCTCGTATTTTCCTACTTTAACTGTTTTACTTGTTAACGCCATTCTCCGCTTGTATTAATGAATCCGCTTCTCTCAGGAAATTACCGAGCACCACCTCAAATCAGAAGCTACACCACTCCCAATCTGAATAACAGCTCTGATACCAATTGTTAGGCGCAGAGTCACGCCCACCGCCGCGGAAGCGATATTACCTGAGAGAAAGCCCTGGCTTTTATTGTCACAAAAGCACAAGTCAACCTCTATATTCCCTTTTCTCGAAGGAAACAAGAATAGATAATGAAATTCTTATTTCTCAAAGGAAACAAGAATTGAAAGTGATATATTTCATCAAAGTGAAATATACACTCTTCCTCTCATCAGCTCTAAGACCGAATATTGAGGGAACCTACAAGCAATAGTCAACACCCAGAAAACAGTAAATACACGAGATTTACGTGGTTCGGCAAAATTACCTACGTCCACGGGAGGGGTGAGGGGAGATTCCACTATAAGGAGAACACCGACGACTTGTACAATCCACCGGGAGGGGTGAGGGGAGATTCCACTATAAGGAGAACACCGACGACTTGTACAATCCACAAGCTCGTCTTAAAGAAAAAAGATCTGATTTTTATCCAAAAGAAATTAACCTCTCTTTTGTAGAATCTCTCTTTATCTCTCCTCAAGAAACTCTCAGCTTTTCTCTAAAAAACAATCGCAAAAAACTCTACGATTTATTTCCCCGCAGTCTTTTTCCCCTTGACTGCAGCCGGCTAAAAACCTCACACGTTTATCCCCGCACGAAACCCTAGGAAGAGATCGAATATTTAAAGGGAGATTAGTGGGCCGGTGAAGAAAGAAAACCCGCAGCTTGGAGTTAGGTGGGCGCACGTGGGTGGACCCCCACCAAGTTACTGATGCCGCTTGCCTCCGCGAAAGCCTCCGCGTTCATGGATGTGTCTTCGTGATGTGGCCCCCACGCTAATCCCTCTGTTCACAGTAGTGCTGCGGGAGGAGCAGCGGAAACCGAGACTTTCGGCTTGGGTTGCCGGATTAGGCTTGGTCAGAGGAGTTTCTACTGGAATCAGCATCCAAGCCGACGACGGGAAGTGCGAAGAAACCCCTCGGTGGCCCTGAGATCGAGCAAAAAGGAATCGAAGGAGTCTCTCTAGGATGAATAAGATGACTGTGATACCATGATAACTACTTTAATTAGAAGAAGACTTGATATTATTGATGATGGTCATTGCGCATATTTATACTAACTTGAGACTAAATATGAAAAGTCTTAATAAAGGCAGAAAGTAAAGGAGAAAATTAGGAAATGGTATCCTACATAATACATGATCATATACTACCTAATTTAACAAACATTATATCAAGATAAAAAAAATACTACTATATTTAACAGCCTCCGCATCACATCCCCTTCATCTCCTCCTATACAAACACTAACCCCTACCTTCCTCTTCACTCTCAAAACTTCCGTTTCACCGGAGAACTAAAACTCCAATCAAACCTCCGTCGACCGCAACGATTGAGGAGCTTGTCTCGTCGAAGTTGTGGCCACATCTGATTCTCCACTTTCGGAGTTCATTGGACGCCTCCTCCACGATCAATGTAGTCTAAACACTCTCCTTCCGTGCTATAGCAACTCATACAGGTATTCTTTTATTATATATATATATTTGTAAATCATTCACTTATTCTTTACCATCCATAAAACCCTGGGTTACGAGAATAACGTTAATTTGAATTATGAGGGGTTAGAAATAATTAAATTTAATTAGACTTAGATGGTAGAATTGTTGTATGTTTGATGTGTTTGCTCGGCTTATGAGTTCGTTAATAAATGTGAATTGCATATTCATTTAAGGTTGTATTTGACAATCACTCAAAATCTAAGCTAGGTTCAATTCTAAATCAGTTTTACTCTTGATCGAAGAACCGAACCAAATTAAGCTGGTCCGGTTTTTACCAATAAAAAACAAATTCAAAACTGGGCTAGGTTTAGTCTTCCAGTTTTAAGAGTTTACCTAAACACATTCTAATTAAATAATGAATTTTAAAATAATGAATTTTATGCTTTGTTTTAGAATAAGGAAGTAATAAAATAGAGCCGGTCTAGACTCTAGAGGTATTATACTAGGGACCCGAAATCTGACGCTTTAACACAATTGCTCTAAAAACCTCACGCTCATGCATTTTGATCGGACAACCCGGTGTTTATATTAGATTAAAGGTGTCTGATCAACTAATTGAAGTTAGCTGTTGAAGTTAGCTAAGATGTTGAAGTTAGCTGTTGAAGCTCAGCTAATTGAAGGATTAGGCCCTAAAAATATGAGGCATAAAGTTTTTTGCTTACAATATGCTGATGATACATTGATCTTTTGCAAAAATAAAAAAGAGCACTTGACTGTGTTGAAGCTGATTTTGTATTGCTTTGAATTAGCTTTAGGCTTAAAAATAAGTTTTAATAAAAGTGTGCTCATATTGCTCTTGAAGATAATGAGTCTTTACAACAAAATCTGGCTTTTATGATGAATTGTAAGTGTGGTAATTTCCTATTACTTATCTTGGAATACCTTTAAGGCCAGGAAAATTAAAAAGAGATGTCTGGTTTCCTTTGATTGAGAAAATTGAGAAAAGATTAGCTTTATGGAAAGGTAGATCTTTATCAAGAGGAGGGAGATTGGTTTTGGTTAACTCAGTCCTTTCCTCTATGCCAATCTTCTGGTTATCTTTCTTCTTATTCCCAGTTTGAGTTATTGAAAAGTTGATATAATGAGAAGAAGATTTTTATGGATTGGATCTTTGGAACATAAAGGGTGTGCTAATTTGGTTAAACGGGAGGAGATATGTAGACCAAAACAATGTGGTGATTTAGGGATAAAAAATTTAAAAATGATGAATAAAGCTCCCTTAGGTAAATGGCTTTGGAAATGGTTTAATGGCAACATTGAGCTTTGGAAGCAAACCAGTTTCCATAAATATTTTGAAAGAAATCATGGACAGAATATTTACGTTCTGAAAACTTGCATTCATCATGGTTTTGGAAAGGGATTTGGATCCTCTCCACTACAAAAAAGTAGTGGAGAGACCAATACTTTTAATCTCAAGCGTTGATTATTTAGTAGGCGGTTATGATATAATCTAAATCTAACACTTACCATACCCCCGTGTATTGCACTCATTCCTAATTTGCACTAAAAGAAAAAATCATAACCATCAACTAGATAATCAATGGCTGTGATTATGTAGTGGTCCCTCCATTATTTTTTTTGTAGTGGAGAGGATCCGAATCCTTTGGAAAGGCTTTTGGATTAATATTGACAGCTTTCTTTGCAGTACTCAAGTGGAGGTGGAATGATTTCTGATTATAAAAATCTTTGTGATAGTTGTTTCTTGAGGACAAAAACTATAGTAGTTTCTATATCTCCTTACTATGACAATCTAGTTAGATTTGTGTTGTTCTCTAATTTGTGGTTAGAGTATGGGATGTTTGTAACCTTGCAATGTAGTTGGTTTTGAACTATGGTACATATTCTAGGTTGGGGATATGTACCTGTTATGTAACAACCTTTATGTTATTTAGCTTGCTTGGTATCTTTATGATATCCCATCCTTTTTCTAAAAAAAAAAAGTGTCTGATCAACACCTGGCATTTACTTGGCTAGTTGGAGGTCTCAAGAGAAGGGTAATATCTGAGAGTGGGTCCTCCTCTAAAACATTCAAAAAATAAAAGCTACCTGTTTCCACGTCGCTTCGTGCCAATATTCTGCCTCATATTTGTCACTTGCTATCAGCTTTCAGATACTCGATTAACCAATCCTCAATCCTATGATTTCCAAAGTCAAAGCCTTCATCGTGCGCCGACAACCTTTGCTCAAGCAACTCCTTCGACTTTTCGACCCAATGAATCTCACAACTGTCAAGAATTAATATATAATAGGTTGTTTGCAATTGACTTCGAACAAGTGAAATGGCTTCATCTACATGAAAGCAATTCATGCATCTATGCGACAGAGCGTTGGCTATTCGTTCAATCTTGGAGAGAGAGAGAGAGAGAGAGAGAGAGAGAGAGAGAGAGAGAGAGAGAGAGAGAGTTTGAGGAAACAAGCTTCAGATCAAAATGTGGGAGCTGGAAGTGACATCCAAAGAGACCATCACCCCTTCATCCCCAACTCCTCCTCATCTCCGCACCCACAAGCTCTGCTGGATCGATCGATGCGTTAAAGTGCTTCACTTTCCCTTCGTCCTCTTTTATCAAAACCCTGCCGGCGCTCACTCCCTCCCCACTCTCAAAACCTCTTTATCTCGCACCCTGTCTATTTTCTACCCTGCCGCCGGAGAACTAGACCCCGACCACACCTTCGTCGACTGCAACGACCGGGGCGCTCACCTTGTCGAAGCCGTGGCCACAACTGATTCTCCGCTCTCGGAGCTTGTTGCTCGGGGCCTCAGCTGCTGCAGCGTGAACACTCTCCTCCCCTGCAGTAACAACTCCTGCAGGTATTCTTTTCTACCTTTGTGAATATGAATAGGAAAAAATGCTTCCAGCCCCCAAAAACCAAGGAAACATGCTTCCCACCCCCAAGACTTTGTCAATGGGTGTTTTACCCCCTAAAATAAAGATTCTGTTATCTGAGCCCCAAAAACACAAAACCCAAGAGATTAAAATATGTGAAGACCATAATACCATTCTCTCTCTCTCTTTCTTTTTTTATTAAAATATGATGAGGATTATTTTATTATTTTTGTTTTCTCTCTTTTTATTAAAATATGATGAGGATTATTTTATTATTTTTGTTTTCTCTCTCTTTATCATGATGTACTAAGATGATAGTTGATGAGGATTATTTTATTATTTTTGTTTTCTCTCTCTTTATCATGATGTACTAAGATGATAGTTGAAATGGTTGATGAAGATTATTTTATTATTTTTGTTTTTTTATTATTTTTGTTGTTTGTATTGGGAGATTGTTAAAGTTTTTTTTTTTTTTTGGTCAATGAAAATTTTTATTCATAACCAAATATGAATGATAAGTACAGCAATAGCTCAGATAGACTCTAAGCTTACAAATTCAATCAACTGTTAAGGTTACGGGTTAATTGTTAATGAATTGTTAGCATCAAAATACTATCATGCCCCCCCCGTTCTCTCTCTCTCTATCATGATGTTACTTTGATGATATTGAAATGATTGAAGAGGATTATTATTTTATTATTTTTGTTTTTTATTCTTTTCGTATTTTTAGAATATTCGTTGTTAAGGATAATGGTTGGTTGTAAAGTTTATGCATTGATTGTTAAGGTTACGGGTTGGTTGTTAAGGTTACGGGTTTCTTGTTAAGGTTATGGGTTTGTTGTGTAGATTACAGATTTGTTGTTAAGGTTACGAGTTTAATTGTTAAGGTTACGAGTTTAATTGTTAAGGTTACGTGTTTAATTGTTAAGGTTACAGGTTTAATTGTTACGGTTACGGTTTAATTGTTAAGGTTACGATTTAATTATTCAGGTTACGGGTTTAATTGTTAAGGTTACGCGTTTAATTGTTACAGATACGGGTTTAATTGTTACGGTTACGGGTTTAATTATTAAGGTTACATGTTTAATTGTTAAGGTTACGGTTAATTGTTAAGGTTACGGTTTAATTGTTAAGGTTATGAGTTTAATTGTTAAGGTTACAGGTTTAATTGTTAAGGTTACGGGTTTAATTGTTAAGGTTACGTGTTTAATTGTTAAGGTTACGGGTTTAATTGTTAAGATTACGGGTTTAATTGTTACGGTTACGGGTTTAATTATTAAGGTTACGTGTTTAATTGTTAAGGTTACGGGTCTAATTGTTAAGGTTACGGGTTAATTATTAAGGTTACAAATTTAATTATTAAGGTTATGGATTTAATTGTTAAGGTTACGGGTCAATTGTTAAGGTTATGGATCCTTTCTCTCTCTCTCTCTCGTAACCTTAACAATTAAACCTGTAACCTTAACAATTAAACCGTAACCTTAATAATTAAACTGGTAACCTTAACAATTAAACCGGTAACCTTAACAACTAAACCCGTAACCTTAACAATTAAACCCATAACATTAACAATTAAACCGTAAACTTAACAATTAAACCGTAACCTTAACAATTAAACCCGTAACCTTAACAATCAAAACCGTAACCTTAACAATTAAACCCGTAACCTTAACAATTAAACACGTAACCTTAATAATTAAACCCGTAACCATAATAATTAAACCAATAACCTTAACAATTAAACACGTAACCTTAACAATTAAACCCGTAACTTTAACAATTAAACCTGTAACCTTAATAACAAATCCGTAAACTACACAACAAACCCATAACCTTAACAACAAACCCGTAACCTTAACAACCAACCCGTAACCTTAACAATCAATGCATAACCTTTACAACCAACCATTATCCTTAACAACGAATATTCTAAAAATACGAAAAGAATAAAAAACAAAAATAATAAAATAATAATCATCTTTAATCATTTCAATATCATCAAAGTAACATCATGATAGAGAGAGAGAGAAGGGGGAGAGAGAGAGAGAGAGAGAGAGAGAGAGAGGATTCATAACATTAACAATTAACTCGTAACCTTAACAATTAACCCGTAACTTTAACAATCTCCCAATACAAACAACAAAAATAATAAAAAATAAAAATAATAAAATAATCCTCATCAATCATTTCAACTATCATCTTAGTACATCATGATAAAGAGAGAGAGAAAACGAAAATAATAAAATAATCTTCATCATATTTTAATAAAAAAAGAAAGAGAGAGAGAATGATATTATGGTCTTCACATATTTTAATCTCTTAGGTTTTGTTTTTTGGGGCTCAGAGAATAGAATCTTTATTTTTTAGGGTAAAACATCCGTTGACAGACTCTTGGGGGGTGGGAAGCACGTTTCTTTAGCTTTTAGGGGCTGGAAGCATTTTTCCCATATGAATATCAAAAAGGCTTTCTTTACAGAAACCACCTTCAAAATAGGATGACGTAATGAACCACCTTGACCTATATTTTCTAGTAGATTTTGATTCAAATTCCGAAAGTGCCCTTAAGAAACAAAACTGTGGCCCCGTGAAAAATCTCAATTTGTGGCGGACGTGCTTTTCAAAACCAATTTTTGCGGGTTTCTATTAAAGTTTCACAAAGAAAAAGAATAAAACGGTTGATTTTTAAAGTGGTTTCTGCAGAAAAAAATAAAATTCTTTTGTAAATACGAAGTAATTCTTGAGGGAAAAACTATTGCAGAAACAACAGTGGCAACCCTCTCCTCTCCGTCCAGATAACCACCTTCTCCTGGCGCCGGAAATCGCCGTCGCCATCTGCATCTCCCACAAAATCTCTGATGCCCGCTCCGCCGGGCTTTCGTCACCGCATGGGGCCGCCACAGCGACCAGAAGAAGCTCAGCCCCCGCTTCCCGCCTTTAACGCGGCGTCTCTTTACGCCCAATTTTACAAAAGAGGTACCCGACTATGGACGGCCCGCGCCAAACCTCATTATCAAAGACTTCTCTTTCGACGAGTCGGCAATCACTAACCTCAGAAAATCTTCCGTTATCACCAACCCTACACGTGTTCAGACGGTGATCGCCCTCTGTGCGATGCTGCACGAGGGCGAAGGCAGCGACAGGCTGTCGAAGCCGTGATGGCGAGAATCGTGGTCGACATGCGAGGGAAGGCGGAACCGCCTTTGCCGGACAGCCTGTTCGGCAACATGGTGTGGCAAGTTGCGACGGCGGTGACGGAGGCCGAGGCCAAATTGAAGTCGAGGTTCGAAGAGAAGGTGAGCTCGACCATAAAAAATATCGACAGAGAGAGACTGAGAGAGTATACAGAGACTGACGGGTGGCCGTTGAGGGAGGAGACGGTGAGGGAGATCGCGGATGAGGTTGGTGATGACTGGGACGTGTATTTTTTCACTAGCTGGACGAGGTTTGGGTTTTACGAGGCAGATTTTGGGTTTGGGAGGCCCATCTGGATGGGGATCGGTGGGCCCGTGATGAGGAATATGGTTACTTTGACCGGGATGGAGGCTTGGGTGACGTTGGAGGAGGAGGATATGATTAGGTTTGAGCGGGATGAAGAGATCCTCGCTTATACTTCCTCGTATGTGTAGTCAACATTGCCTTCATACTGGAATTGGCGGTTTGCTTGAAATCATGTGATGCCTACATTTTCTGTTGTATTCTCGATTTCATACGTCCTTTGTGAGAGTAGTGTTTCGTTTGTGCCAAGAATGAAACGTTAGCAAATTAATGCTACAACGATGAATGATGCATGAAATCGACTTCAAATATGTACTGCTTAGATATCTATAATTTTATTGTGAAAACTGTTTCTCGAATGAATTTTTTTTGTTTTGTTGAAAAATAATTGGCACGAAATCTACATGACTTACACAATTGCCCATGTTCTTTTACATTGCATTGGAAATTGTTTTTAATGAGGTTGCATATACTATTTATATTTTTTTATTTTATATGCACTGAAACATGTTTTTAATAAGATCGTTCATTAACTCTTGGTTGGGCCAGATTCTCCCCAATGGATCCAATATCAAAGATGAATTTATAACGGATTGCGATCCAAAATCAAGATAAAGAGAGAGGTGACATGGACTATCTTTTTTTGAAGAGGAGAGGATTCAAATCCGCTTTTTGGGAAAGTAAAATCTTTTTTTTAAAGGGAAGCACCGAGATTGGCCAGGTAGCTTCAGCTATTTCAGAGACGGACGCGAGCAGACTTTGGCACTATAGGTTGGGGCACACAGGTAAAAAGTCACTGCAGTCTTTTTGCAAGCAGGGGCTATTGAAAGAAGCCAAGAGTGGAAAGACAGAATTCTGTGAGCACTGCGTTCTTAGCAAGAAGACAATGATGAAGTTCAGGATAGCCATCCATAGGATGACTGACATCTTGGACTACGTGTACATAGATGTTTGGGTCCCACCAAGACGGGCATCACTTGGTGGTCGATATTGGTTCGTCACGTTTGTAGATGACTATTCTAGGTGTTATTTGGTGTACACCATGACGAAAAGAGTAAAGTCCTAGAGATATTTGTGGAGTGGAAGAAGATATTGGAACTACAGACTGGGGAAAAGATCAAGACGTTGCGATCCGACAACGATGGTGAGTATACTTCTGACCTCTTTCAGCAACTATGTCGAGACGAGGGCATAGAGAGGCACTTCACAGTTAGTCACACGCCACAGCAGAATGGGATGGCAAAAATGTTGAATCGATCTTTGCTGGAGAATGTACGATATTTATTGTCACAGAATGGTTTGAAGAAAATCTTTTGGACAGAGGCACTTTTATATGTGAGCCACATTATTAATAGGCTGTCTTCATCTGTGATTGAGGGAAAAACCCCTATGGAGATGTGGTCGGAGCACACGACTATGATCAGTTTAAAGTATTTGGGTACCCTGCATTTTATTATGTGAAAACTGATAAATTAGAACCTCGAGCTAGGAAGACCATATTTGTGGGATTCAAGCATGGTGTCAAAGGATACAAGCTTTAGGATCTAGTTGATAAGAAGATTGTGCTGAGTAGAGATGTCACATTCGATGAGGCTTCTATCTTGAAGCTTCCTAGCTCTCATCAGGTGGAGAGCGACCCGACATTAGAGACACCGCAGATGGTGGAGATTGATGCAGCTCCACATTGTCCAGATGGGACTGTATTCATTAGAATGCTGACTGAGGTGACGCCAAGCGAGCACGGTGATAATTCGGAGGATACAGGTACAGTTGAGCAGGATCAGGGACCGACGGCTCAGGTTCATGATTCTATTGCAGTTCGGAGATAGAGGAGAAACATACAAATGCTAGCTAGGTATACAGACACAGTTGTTGCGTATGCACTTTCGGTGGAGAGTGTCGATGAGTTGGTTCCTACTATATTCAGAGAGGCCGAGCAGAGTTCAGAGATTGATTTATGACAGGTGACTATGCAGGAGGAGATGGAGTCTCTTCATAGGAACGACACATGGGAGCTAGTCGAGCTTCTAAAGTAACGGAAGGCTATTGGTTGTAAATGGGTGTATACAAAGAAGGAGGGTATTGAAGGCACTCCCGTGAGGTTCAAGGCTAGGATGGTTGCGAAGGGATATGTAGAGGAGGAAAGTCACTGCTAGAAAACGGGGTTTTGCCGACGGACTTATAGCGACGAAAATTTTCGTCGCTATAAGTCATGTTATAGCGACGGAAATTTTCGTCGCTATTATTCCGTCCGCAAAATAGTTTTACCGACGGAAATATCATTTTTAGTGACGGGAACTGTACGTCGTTATTACTGTACCAACGGATTTTTGGCGACGGAAATTCCGTCGCCAAAAAGAATAGTGCCCAAAAAAATTTGGGCGCGGGCGTGCCCAAAAAATTTGGGCAGCCCGCGCCCGAGAGAGGGATTTATCCCAAATCCCTCTCTCAATTCCTAATTCCCCCTCTCTCATTTCCTATTTCCCCCCTCTCTCTCTTCATTCCCCCCCTCCCCCTTCTCGTTCTCTTCACCGACACCGGACCCGCGCCGCCGCCATACCACCGACACCGGACCCGCGCCGCCGCCATACCACCGACACCGGACCCGCGCCGCCGCCATACCACCGACGAGCTGCCGCCTTCCCTACCAACGAGCCGCCGCCTCCCTCTCTCTTTCTCTCTCTCAAGGTACTCTCTCCTCCCTCAATCTTTTGCTTATTGTAGTTTAATTGTTGGAGGAGATTAGGTCTTTTCTTTTTAGTCTTATTCCCAAATTTTGCTACAAAATATCCCTGGTTGGTTTTTTTTCTAAAGTCAGTCTGTTAAATTTGGGCTTTTCGCCCCGAATTCACGTGCTATGTTTCTGTGATCGTTTTAGCGGAGATTTTAAGTTATTAGAACGGTAATGAAAAAATGGGTAATTTTCAATTTTGGCAAGGGATTTGGCTAGGCCATTTATTTTGGGGTTTTTATTTGATGTCCAATTGAGAAACTAATAAGGGGTGAGAAGGAAGAAAACTGATTACTTTCTAAAGAAAGTAGTGATGGGTCTCGGGCTTTAAATTTGACGATGTCGAATCTTTACATTTGGTTCCAGTTTCTGATAATTTTCAACATTTTAGTTACTTTGAAAAAATCTAATAATTGTTGATGATACATGCATATCATATGAGTGAACTATGATTCTTAGACAGATGCGAATGTCATACTATGACATGGACAGGGGTTTGTGAAACTGGCAATAGTCCAAAGTCCAGATGTGATAATATGGTTATATATGCACGTTTCTTATGAATATATCTATATGTGACGCACATAAATATATGTATCATGCTGTTCTTCATATAAGATAGAACTTAATTTCAGCAAATTAGTTCATTGAAGAGAATGTTGAGTAGAGGGAGGATGAGTTATAATGTTGTTGTTGTTGGTTGTTGTTTTTGTTTTGTGATCTCTGTGCATGCGTGCTTATGGTGTCTGTAGTGAATTTGGGAGGCGTTGCTTTCTACAATGGACAAATCAGTATGAAAATAAAAGCTTATCTGATGCAAGTCAGGCCTCTAATTAATGAGCAAAGCTTGTGGATGAAACCCTTGTTATTGTTAACATCATCCTTCATGTAATTAATTAAGCTAATAAAATATAAGAGTGCATTCGAAACATAGTCGCTCTCTCCATATGATTTCACGCTACTATGTCAATTAGTTAATGTGAATTGGATTTAGTGACAATCTACTGGTATGCGTTTGCCTTGCATCTGTAAAGTTTGTGAACAGACTTATTAGTTTAATTATATGCTTAGTTTATGAACAGACTTATTAGTTGATAATGTTTGAGATGGGATCTGTGTGGTTTACTTTGATGTGGTGAATTTCATTTTGATATGAATAAGATGTAATGTGGGTGCCCCACTCTATATTTATGTTGCAAGTTTCGTGGATTTTTTTTAATTTTTATTTTCAGTTTTAAGGGCTTGGAGAAAATGTAGTAGTAAGTTGATTTTTGCAATAAATTTTGGAGTAAGCTAAAGAGCTATCAATATATAGAAATATTAGTTTTCTTTATTATCAATAAACTCGAAATCAAGTCTTTTTATGAAAATATTATATGGATTGTTATTTTGTTCCTAAGCATCAAATCATTTAGTCAATCAAAATTTGTAATCAATTTGCATTTTTTATCCAAATGATCATATACTGATACTGATTTGTGTATCATGTACTAATTGAGACACTATTATATAATCAAATCATATGTCATAATTTACCACTAAAATGCATGCTGTCTCCCCCCTTAATGTAGACAAAAAGCTCCTCAACATAGAGCAATTAAGTGCATGCTTTAATAAAACAACTAGAGAATAATGGGACATCATTTAGTGCCTATAGTTTTTTAATCAGCAATTAAGTGCATGCCTCTTTGCCTGCAATTAATCATAAACAAGTGCAGTCTCAATTTAGGGACTTGTTGGGATCCTTCATACGTATGGATTTAATGTTCACAAAGTCAAAGACATAAAAAAAAGATTAGCAATTTGGGTTCTCTCCTTACAAATATAGTTATACCCCCTCAGCAATTAGTTTGTCTCGCTATTTTGTGATTTGTAATAGCTTATTTAGGTTCCCTCGACAGGTCAGTCCTAGAACTGATGAGAGAAGAGCTGATATCCCACTTTGTTGAGATATTTTGCTTAAGGTTCTTGTTTCCTTTGTGAAACAGGAATTCCTATTACGACTTGACTCTCTTGTTGTGCTGCCGAGGTGCTGTCGAAATTTTCGCTGCGTGCAACATTCTTAACCTTATTGAAGACCTTCTATAGTAATTTGGGTTCTCTCCTTACAAATTTTGACGAAATGATAGTACACTTGAACACACGTAAATACATATACACGTCACGTTTACATACCTAATGGGATAGAAGCATTCCTCTGACAGCCGGTCACACACATTTGTTCTAAATTAAAATGATATATATAGGGATATGCTCACTTCCATTAATTTTTAAATTCTAGATGCGGACAGTTCCTGACAAATCGTTCATGAGCATACCACGTGATCGGAGGCATCTAGACACCCGATACAAGGATGGAATAGAAGCCTTCTTAGCCTACTCTGACACCAACCCTCTACGGTCGCTGAGCGGATCAATTTTCTGTCCTTGCAAGAATTGCAGGAATGGTAAAATGCTCACTAGGAGTGACGTAAGTTTCCATCTGTCAATCAATGGATTTGATAGCTCTTATGTATTTTGGAGTCATCACGGTGAAGGCGTCCCGGTGATGCAATTAGAGGAAGAGTTCACTAATG